AGGAGGAGGGAGGAGGGAGAGCTGGGGTGGGCGTGGATACAGTCAATACAGTGCATGACATTCCCAAAGAATTGAGCATATTTTTTAAAAATTAAAACATTTAGCAGGCGTTGATGGGAAACCAACAGAGGAAAGGGCTGGCGACATGTGAGCCCCAGACACCGCTGGTTTCCACCACTCCTTGGAAAACTAATCCGCTTCATGAGACATGTTCCTTTGCAGCCTCGGGGGCTGCTTCAGAGGCAGAGCATGGTACAGTGTGACTTAGAAACTGTCCGAAGGCGGGAGTGTTTTATATTCCTGTTTTAAGAAGCGAACTGTAGCAAAATATATCCGCAAACACAAAACTTGGTCATCCCACTTCCCACATGACTTCCCCATTAACAGGAAGTCCAAGATCTCTGCTGCAAGTTTACGGGAACCATCAAGGAGGGCAGATGTGGACTGTGCCTGGCTGTTCTTCTCGGGTTTGGAAGCTTCAGTGTCTCAGAACCAGTCCCTTCTCACACAGGTCTTGGCTTTCAGGGCGGTGGGGAGACGTGGCTTCATCTCAGGGACAAAGGGTTAAGGTTCAGAACAATGAGAAAATCCTTGGTGCAAGGCTTCTCTGCATCCGGTCATAGGACTAGGAGTGTCCCTGAAGGGCATGCCAGAGACCTGTCACTCCACAGACAGCTGCCTAAAATCCTCCAGCCTCAGCCCTTCCAGCCTGCAGAGGTCTCTTTGGAAGACATCACTATTAGTCACTGAAGTTTCTGCATTCTGGAAGAGCCTGGAGCCACCCTGAGGCCACCCGAGGCTCTGCAGCCTGTGTACGGTTCGATCAAATGCTCTGAGGCCCAGAGGCCGAACCAGGCTTCCTGTACAGCACCAGCATTAAGTAAAGGCCTGTGACCAGTTCCTGTTATGACTTATGGAAGCCAGCGGCCTCCTGTGTTTCTGAGGACCACAGCAGTCCCCTCCTGGGAGACCAGGAGAAGATGAAGTGCAGCGTCTTGAAGTACAACCCACAGAGAGGAGAGTCAATGCTGTGTTTTTGAGACCGCTGTTGTTTTAAGTATGTGTTTGCCCTGCATGTTCATCTGTGCACCGTGTGTGCCTGGTACCCTCAGAGGTCAGAAGAGGGCTTCAGATCCCCGTAATCAGAGTTAGAGATGGTTGTGAGGGATGATGTGAGTGCTGGGAATTGAACCCAGGTCCTCTGGAAGAGCAGCCAGTGTTCTTAACCACTGAGCCATCTCCAGCTCCCTTCTAAGACTTTCTAAGGCCACCACACAATCTAAATATTAAAAAAAAAAAATTGAGATTTATTAAGGAAGTGTTTTGTAGGGAAATCATTATTCAGCATGTTGCTGAGACAGCCTTTATGATATAGATATGTAAAAGTCCACAAGCTGGGGATAGAAGCCTACAATCCCAGCCTTCTGGAGACAGAGGTGACAGGTGAGACATAAGAATGAGGACAGTCTGGGCTACATATTAAGCTGGAGGCCCACCAGAGCTACACAGAAAGACTTTGTTTCGAAAAGCTAATGATTCAGTCTGGGGAGATGACCAGGCAGGTAATGTACCTTGCCACAGGATGGAGTGGTGTGCATCTGTAACCCTGTACTCCACAGGATGGAGTGGTGTGCATCTGTAACCCTGTACTCCACAGGATAGAGTGGCGTGCATCATCTGTAACCCTGTACTCACAGGATGGGGTGGTGTGCATCATCTGTGACCCTGTAGTCCACAGGATGGAGTGCTGTACATCTGTAACCCTGTAGTCCACAGGATGGAGTGGTGTGCATCATCTGTAACCCTGTACTCCTACAGCAAGATGGAAGACAGAAACATGAGAATCAGCTGGGGAGGGGTGGGTATGGTGTGTGTGGTGCAGCAGCAGAAACAAGAGAACCCAGCCTCAACAAGAAAGAAGCAACGTGCGAAAGTTGTCCTCTGACCTTCACACAAAGGCCATGGCGTGATGCCTGCACCCTCCACATCAAACACACACACACACACACATAAATTAAAACGTTTTAAAAGACCACCCTAAACAAAAAATCTCTACAGTAATACTTTATTAGAATGTGGCTACGCAAGAGACTCACCTTGACATGACTTTTAAAAAACAAAACAAATTTTATAGTCAAAATAACTGCAATTAGAATTTATTTGCAAGTATTTGTGATCTCAGGAGGCAGAGACAGAAGGACTTCTGTGCGTTAGAGGCCAGCCTGGTCTACATTTATTACACTCTCTAGCCGAGCGGTGGCGCACGCCTTTAATCCCAGCACTCAGGAGGCAGAGGCAGGTGGATCTCTGTGAGTTTGAGGCCAGACTCTAAGTTTTTCTTTCTTTCTTTCTTTCTTTTAATTTTTTGTTTTATTTTTATTTATTATTTATTTATTTATTTTGGTTTTTCGAGACAGGATTTCTCTATATAACAGCTCTGGCTGTCCTGGATCTCACTCTGTAGACCAGGCTGTCCTCGAACTCACAGAGATCCACCTGGCTCTGCCTCCTGAGTGCTGGGATTAAAGGCGTGTGCCACCACCGGACTGTGTAGCGTTTCTTGTCACGCACTCAGTGCACTTTGAGGATCCAGCTGAACTTTGGGTATGAATAAGCACAGGACAGTAGATAGGCTTCGAGACCAGCCTCACACAGATCATTCAGTTGTTAGAACTAGCTATCCTGTAATGCTGGAGCATTCATTGTCACATGGCCCACACCAGGACAACCTCGGAGACCACCACAGGGGTACTCGTGTGTACCCTTCCCACAAACCCCTGCTCCACAGTTCCTGGGACTAACAAGTTTCCTCCCAAGGCCCGCCGGGCCTCGGCCTGAGGAAGAGCCGTGTCCGCTCTGCTCGGGCCTCAGCCTGAGGAGGAGCACGTGTCCTCCTGTTCTCCTCCTTACATAACTGAGAACATCTGACAAAAGCGATTTCTTCCAGCTCAGGCTTTCACGGGTTCACACCCCACGGGGGAGGGCCCGGCACTGCAGGCTGCGCACAGCACCGTGACAGGGAAGCCAAGAGCGAGACCAGAGTGACTGTCACACACACACCTCAAGGATCTGCCCTCAGCGACCTACTTCCGGCCTCATCTTCCAAAGTTTCCAACCCCTCCCCCAATAGTGCCAGCATCTGGGGCCAAGGATCTGCTCACTGTTCCGAGGTCAGACCTGAGACCAAGGCTGAGCGATGCCTTCCCGCCAGCCTTGCTCCTCTGTGAAGGCGCTGTTTCTAGGCTTCACACTACCACCACCAAAAGGCCCAAGCAGAGGAGAGGCCAGCCAGAGGCTGTGGTAACGGACCGCTGAGGCCCGCTGTCGGGCTCACGTGAGGCCACTCTTCAGACAGCAGCGGCCCTCAGTCCAGGGTGACGGCTCCTCAGCAGGTGGCTCTCACCACAACCTGCCAGCCTGAGCTCAATCCCGGGGACCAGCGTGGAGGAAGAGGAGAACAACTGAGAGCCGTCCTTTGGGTAAACACACGCGCGTGCGCACACACTCACACATACCATACACACACACACTCACCACACACACACCACACACACACACTCACCACATACACTCACACACACTCTCATCACATACACTCACACACTCACACTCTCACCACACACACACCACACACACACTCACACACTCACACTCTCACCACACACCACACACTCACACCACACACACTCATACACACTCACCACACACACACACACACACACACACACACACACACACACACACACACTAATAAACAACTATTATAAGGAGGAGGGATGGTAGCTTTGGCCTTCAACCTGGGATGCTGGGGTAATGAGTCTCATGTCCCTGTCACCTGTTGCTGAGTCCTGTGCGTGCAGTTACGACCAGATGAGACCTGACAAGGTGTCGCCATCTGCATGAAGCCAGCGGTTTCTCCAGAGGTCGCTGCTGCCGTGATGCTTGGGCGAGCGCACAGCCCTGGCCCCGGCTGTGGGGCCTGGAAGTCAGCTTCCAAAGGCTCTATGCTACCTGCCCACCTGGCTCAAGCTTGCTTTAGTGTCTGTCTGGACAAGCAGCTGGGTCCCAGAGCCCCGCGGACCGGTGCCCCCCATACAGTGTGCCCACCTGGACTAGTCACCACACTACCCACTGAGGGAGTCGTTTGTTCAACAACGGCAATGTCCCGGTTTCAGGGTGACAGTTCTGGGACAAACGGTCAAAGCACTGGTGGTCTGGGATCTGCCCAGGGTGTCAAGGCCCATCAGTAGCAGCACACGGGGCGACAGCATTAGCTTCTTGCTGCTGACAAACTTCTGGAGACATCAACGTAGAGGAGGAAAGGGAACGGTCTCACAGTTCCAGCGGTCACTTGGCCATGGCCTTCGGTTCCTGGGGAAGGGCCACCTCATGTCAAGGAGCATGTGGCAGAGGCTGTTTACCTTGCGGCAGCCAAGGAGAGAGAGGAAGAAGGGGCTGACTCCTAGCCCCCTGAGGGGTTTCCTCTGACCTACTGCCTCCAGCTGGGCTCCAACAGGTCCCACTTCCTCCCACCGTGCTGTCAGCTGGGAGCCAGTCAATGGGAGACGTGACATCAGCCCACAGTCACCACATTTGCGTTTCTCTCTAACTACGGTGATGACGGCTGTTATGCGGTGTCTTTGGAAGCTGAGGGGTCACCGCACTCTAAAATGATGACATCAGGGCTGGAGAGATGGCTCAGTGGTTAGGAGCACCTACTGCTCTTCCAGAGGTCCTGAGTTCAATTCTCAGCAACCACATGGTGGCTCACAGCCATCTACAATGAGATCTGGTGCCCTCTTCTGGCCTGCAGGGATGTGTGCAGACAGAACACTGCATACATTAAAAAAATAAACTGATGACATCACTCTGTGATCAGCAGTCTTTCACACAAAGACGCTGCTGCATCTGCTGGGTTTGACTTTACTGTGTCGGGGCTTGGATCCGTGGCTCCCCCGCCCCCCCAGCCAGCTGAAGGTCACTCCCAACTTGCACTGGTCTAATTGTTTCAGTGAAACTTTATTCATATTTTGACGCTGCCATATTCTGAATTGGTATAATTCAAGACACAGTCAACAAATAGACAGTTGATCTCGTCGAGAATAAGCCAGCCGGGGATACAGAGTCAGGAAAGTCCTGAACACGGACGAGCCAAGCTGTGGGACCTGTGCTCACTTCCAGGGTCCTCATGAATGGCAGCTGGGTGCTGGCGGGGCAGATCCAGGTGGGCTCCTAACCGCTCGTCTTCTTCTGCTTCTGTCTCAGCTTGTTCCACATCCTCTCCAGCGCCACTTTCCCCATGAAGAACGTGATGGCAAAATTACGCTTGTACCAGTCTCTACAGGGAAAGAGAGGCACCCCAAGTCAACCACAGGGACAGTCCTGACCAGACAGCAGCTCCCCTGGAGGTGTGGTCCCCTGACTCCCGACCTCCCCAGCTGGCCATACACACAGATAGCCAGTTTCCCTGTGTGTGGAGGGCTCCAATCTTCCTCTGGCCTTTACTAAAGGATTCATAAGACCCTCTGAACCCAGCAACATTCTAGACAGACACTGTGGAGAGGTAACCATGGAACACAGCCTGGCAGCTTCCTGGGGACCAGAGGGTGTCCTGCGTTGGCCTAATGTGTAGAGAAGTGCCCAGGCACAGCGCTCCCCACTGGGCCAAGCTCTACATCCCCTTCTCCTGGGCCACAGGTCTCTGACCCTCACTCAGACCCTGGTGGAATCTGTACAAGGAAAACGCTGCCTACAAGTCATTCAGTGGAAGCCGACCCACTGGGGCCGGTTCTAACCTGCGGCGAAGTCTGGGGAGCTTACTGGACACAAGAAGGGCTCCGCTTAGCCCCGGCAGGCAGCCCCCGGCACCAGTCGGTCATTCCAGCCCGAGCTCCTGAACCACTTGCACTGGGCCGGATCCTCTGAGTTCCTGATCTCAGTACAGAAGGTAAGGGAGGAGCCCGGGCCCTCAGGGAGTGACAGTACAAGTCACCGAGTGTGAGCCCTCAACTCCACCTACACAGAACGTCACCACGCGTCACTGCTCTCCTGATGTCGTGGAGCTGACCTGGCCATGTGTGGGAAAGCCAGCAAAGCGCCCTGGCTCTGTGCTGAGCAGACACCCAGAGCTGGAGGGCAGTGGGCAGTGGGCAGAGGCCCCTGTGGCTGAGTGACGAGCCAGGTCAGGGTAAGGCCCACCAGACAAGGAGGCAGACGCTCACCCAGCCCCCACTGTCACCGTGAGGTCCTGCCGCTCTGGCCATGCCCAGTCCCGTCATTGCTAGATTTTAAAGCAAATCTCAAGTTGCGTCTTAACTACCAGATATAACCAAAAGCTAAGGTGATTATTAAAGATCAGATTGATCAGGCCAAGCATGGTGGCCCACACCTTTAATCTCAGCACCTGGGAAGCGAAGGTAGACAGACTCTCTGAGTTCGAGGCCAGCATGGTCTACAGTGAGTGAGACTCTTTCTCAAAATACCAAAGCAACCAACCAAACAACAACAGTAACAAAAAAGAGCCAACCATGGCGACATCTGCCTGTAATTCTATCACTCCCACGGCAGAGGCCTGGTCCACATAGCAAGTTTCAAGCCAGTCAGGCCTATATATGAGACCTTGTCTCCAATTAAATAAATAAATAATAAGAAACAGAAAAAGTCACTAATCTGACAGAATGATCGACTAACTCATGGACACAGCCACCCCATCTTTAGATACCCTGTCCAAATCTCTCACGACTGGACACTGTGGACTCCCAATATTATGGGCTGAGCTGACATCTTCAGGCCGCCGTTTCAAATGTCTTCAGCGGCCCTCCCCACGTACACACCCTCTTACTCTTTGCCTGTGTCCTGTTCTGGATTCAGAAGTCCAACCCCACTGTAGCCCCATCTCTCAGGACACACCCTGCAGACGCAGCCACTGTGGCGTCCCGCTGCATAAGGTGTGGACGTGCTGGGACGCACGTGTGTCATCCTGGGCTGTCGTCACCCCGTCCCACAGCTGTTTGTGTCCAGTGGTTTCAGCAGCCAGGGGAGACAAGTGCCTAGATCTACGTGTGCCCTTCGGAAAACGGTAATTCACCACCAGTTCTGAGTGTTCTCGTGTGGCACAGGGCAGGGAAGTTTATACCGTTTACACTGTTCCACATGTGACCTTACACAGCCAGAGGGGGTACTAGCACAGACACAGTGTGCACTGACATTTTTGCTGTCCAATATATGTACTTTTGGGCGGCTGTCTGACTCTCCATGAGGTTACACGTTCCTACTGGTCCTTGCATGGCTCTCCTGGGGCCTTTGGTCTCTGCTGACCTCCTTGTTCCCACACAGGCAACACCCTGACTGACCAGGACCCCCAGGGAAAGACACTTAAGGACGTCTTCGGGACCCACTTACTGACCTAAGGCCCAGGGCACAGAAGACGCCGTGTACAGGGGAGGCTGACAATTTAGCTAAAACGGCAAAAAGTGAAGATCACAAAATCATGTGACCTCCATCTCTACTGAAAGCATCAAGGCTTTAAACTAAGGTAAGAAGATAAGCAAATGTGGATGTGCTAACTAAACTTCAGGGAAGACGCAAACACTCACCGGTTATAACACATGTGCTTCTGAAAATTCTTACTCAGAAACTCCTTATAAAAGTCAGCCATTTCCTCTGCGTCCAACGCTGCTCTTTGACCTGGAAATAAATTACAACTTAACGTAAGACTCGAGGAGGAGCTGCTTGTGGTGGAGCACATTTATAACCCAGGCCACAGGTAGAGGCTGAAGTGTCAGAAGTTTGGTCAGCCTTGGTTACCTGTGACATGGCTCACTGAGTTGATTCCTGGGACCCAGAAGGCAAAAGGAGAAAACTACCGCTCATTGTCCTCTGACCTCCTCAGGCAAACTATGGCGCATGCAAACCCCCCCCCCCCACACACACACACAAGTAAAAGAATAAGATTCTAGTTTGTTTTTTAAATTATGTATATGTGTGTATCTATTTGTAGGTCTGTGCACAGTGGGTAGGTAGAGTATCTGCACAGGCCAGTAGGTGTCAGAGGCCCTAGGCCAGAGTCACAGGCAGCTGTGGGTCACATGACATTCTGCTGGGAACCAAACTGAGTCCTCTACTTTCAGAAATTTTGAGGTCCAGTCTCTTATTAATTTTCTTCCCGGAGGCCCAGGTGTGGGAATGAATGACAGCAAGCTCTCTGTCCGTTCACTTTATTCCTCTATGACAAAAGTCCATCTACACAGCTTCAGCTCCATCCTCCCATCAGCCCCTCTCTCTGTGCCCACTTTTCCTGTCCTCATAGTTTTGTTGGCTCCTATGCTTTTGACCTCATCTTCGTCCTCTGTCCCTTCGTCCTGCATCTCTCCTTGCTCCTTACCCCTGGCTCTGAGAAAACTCTACAAGAGATCTGCCTAACCCTCTACAGAATCTCTGACTTCCTCTCTTCTCTCTGGCCATGCGGTTCTGTCTACCCTCTCCAGAGAAACTGTCTGGTTCTCCTTGCCACAGGACTCTCTGCTGCCAGGAATTCTGCCTCACTCTTTACTCCACCTAGATATGCAAAAACCTCCTTTGTTTTCAGTCAATTTCAGTCTGTGATGCCACTAGGCCTGAAGGCAAGGGATGGTCTGAGCTTCCTCTGCACAAGAAACAAAGCTATGCATCTAGGAGCCAGGTTGCCTTGAAGTTTTACCTTAGTTCAGGGACTTCAGGCACCTAGCAGGTGGTCTGGTAGCTATTCTGCTCCTCACTTGTCCCTCAGTGCTTTGTTTGGAGTTGGCCCTATCTTTGGATGATTCCCCTTTTGGATATTTGTAAAAGGCAGATACTCAATCAAATGCTAAAAAGGGAGCAGGGTGCTCAGAGGCAGAAGACCCTGCCTATGTGACCTTATCCAAGTACTGGCCCAAGCAGGATGCTCACATATATATTCTATGGGAATTATGAGCACAAGAGATTCATAACGAGGAGCAGCTGACTATTAAAGCTGAATAACACCAAATATTCCATGATAAATGGCTTCCCACTAGAAAAATGCCTTGAAATTTCTAGGTATAGCTTTAATACATAGCCGAATCTCTATAATATAGTCTTGCGGCTCACAAGACTCTACTAGAAGAGTAAGAGCTTAACCACCGAAGAAGCCATCACCCCAGTTACTTCCTATTGTTTATTTTATGTGTATGGATGTTTTGCCTGCACTGTATGTTTGTGAATCACTTGTACACCTGATGCCCACAGAAACCAGAAGAAGGGTCCTGGGCCCCTGCAAATAGAGTTACAGCTGCTTATAAGTCTCCATGTGGGTGCCGAGAATGGAATCCAGGTCCTCCATGAGAGCAGCTAGTGCTCTTAACTGCTGAGCCACCTCTCCAACCCAGTTTTCACTGCTGTTGTTTATTTTATAATATTTTTTAAAAAAAAAGGACGAAAGAAAAGTAAAAGTAAGACTGGGATTGGCTCCAGCTGGCAGAGTGCTTACCCAGAGTCACATAAACCAGGGATGGGGGCAGGAAAATCATAAAATCAAGGTCATTCTGGATCAAAAATAACAAAATGAAGGATGAGCAGTAGTGGTACACGCCTTTAATCCCAGCACTCAGGAGGCAGAGGCAGGAGGATCTCTGTGAATTCTGGGCCAGCCTGGGCTACAGAGCTAGAGAAAAGCTGTCTGAAAAAACCAGGGGGAAAAAGCAGCTCCAGAACGGCCTGGAGGCATCTGGCAAAGGCCACACGTGGAGCAGAGAACGCGTCTGACAGTGAGGTGGGGATACCGAAGGGGGAGGTGAACGCTGGCAGAAATGCACACAGTCGTCACGGCAGGACAAAACCAGGGGGCCTCCTCCAGGCCCACCCCTGCCTGGACAGCCCTACGCCGAGGACAGCTCTAGAGACCGCACTTCTCGGCTGCACTTGTGTGTTCAAGCACAGCCTGTCTCTTACCAGGCAGGTGCGGATGACCTGTCTTCTGTGCCTGTGCACTGCACGGCGGCGCAGGCAGTGGTCTGTGCTAACACACAGAGGAAGGGTCAAGCCCTCGTGAGCTCAGTTGTGGTATCCACGTGCTAACCACGCACAACTCTATTCACATTGCTTGTTTCAGGCTCAGCCTTCCTGCTGTCCCCTCCACCTAAAAGACTCTTCTGAGAACATCCCCGCCACACCCCCCCCACACACACACACATGCACACTGGCAGGTGCCCACCCCCCTCCCTAACTCCCTGCTAGTCTTCTCGCAGGGTCCATATGCTATGTCCACAGCACACACCCACCTGTATGCTGACCCTGCTCGGTGGGTGGGCTTGTTATCTCCCATGGGAGGACAGAAGTCCTGCTCCGCCCACCCTATCCCAGTGGCCAGTGGCATGCCTCTGTGAAGACAGACGCTACTCACATGGAGTGGAGAGGACCTGTCTCCTGAGAGGGGAGGGAGGCCTAAGGTTCCAGGGAAGGTGACACCTGAGCTGGTCTCAAAGGAACAACACAGGCAGCCGGGAAAAGGGGGACCAGACCGGAGGGCACCAGGATGAAGCCCAGTGCAGAGACACTTTCGGGGTGGCAGTCTTAGCTGATCTTAGAGAAGGGTGTGCCCTCTCCTCCAGCAGCCTCTCTGGGCCGCACAGGGAGAGAGACTGTCCAAACAGGAAAGCCGTCCCCAGCGACAGCAGCACAAGCCGCCTCACTGGAGGGACAGGCTCTGCCGTCGGCTACGAGATGCGAACTGTGTCCTCCCGTTGTCTTTCCCTGTCTCAGCAGCTCACCTCGGCACAGCCTCTCCCGGCACAGCCTCTCCCGGCACAGCCTCTCCACGGCACAGCCTCTCCACGGCACAGCCTCTCCACGGCACAGCCTCTCCACGGCACAGCCTCTCCACGGCACAGCCTCT